TCACCGAGTGAAAATGACACCAGAGTATAATTCTGGGGACTTTCATCCCGAATCCTAAGTAGGGATGAGTCAACACCTAACATGTGTTGCCGGGTAGTCTATTCCCGTAACAAGGGCGAAGTCTATGTATTCGAAATCATAGCATAAAGTCTCAGAGAATTCGCTCTCTTAGCACAACGTTACATGCGGAACGGATTCAGACAATCCGCATGCTAGCCCGATTTCAAACGGTAATCGGTAAAGGCACATCAAACCCGTTGAAGGTTGGGGGTTTGCCAAAAATCCCAAAGTCTATGTCTAACACACATTGCCGGTTTAGTCTTTCGCCGATTGAAAAAGACACCAGAGTCCAAACCTGGGGAATTTTATCCCGAAGCCTAAGAATGGATAAGTCGTCGTCTGATACGCGACGCGGGGTACCTTTTTCCTATAAGAAATGGTTAAGTCTATGTATTCAAAATCATAGCATCAAGTCTAAGAAAAACGATTTTCTTAGCACAACGTTACATGTGAGACAGGTTTAATAATTCACATGCTAGTCCGATTTCAAACGGTAATCGGTAAAGACATATCAAACCCGTTGATGGCTGGGGGTTTGCCAAAAATCCCGTAAAACTTATCATCATTGGGTTCAATAAAGAAATATCATAAAGGAATCAAATGCGGAGTCTCTATTAATAGATCAAGTCAAAGCATACAATAAAAAAGCTCGTTAGCCTGAAGGCAGCTGACGGCTAAGAACATGAGACTCTAAACTAGAAAGCCTATCTATATAACTCTGCTCAAGTTCTGCCTGCAGGCCAGCTCGGACGGATTCTTCAGAACTGCTCAAGATCTTCACGGCTTCATTCTTCAGCTTCATCAATCTCTCCTGTGTAGATCCTAGCTTCTCGAGGGCCTGTCCACGAGAATGCTCTACTCCAGCCAGGTCTTCTGCAATGATAGTAATGGACTCCTCGGCGTGCTTCAAGGCCTCCTTCAACCTAGCCACTTCCTCGTGGCCGGAATCCAAAGAACGGAGTAGCTCGGCTCTATCTGTATCCCTCCTCGCCACGGTAGCCATCAGCTGCGCAACTGAATGCTCATGTGACTGAAGCTCACTGCCGATGGAAGATCTCAGGTCGCGCCACTGTGCCAGCCTATGCTCCATCTGAGAGGACACGAAGGAAGAAACCCCATTAGCCTTCAGCTCCTTCAACTCTCGGATCTCCGACTCCAGAACAGCAAAATCGGCACTCCTAGGAGGTCGAGGTCGACGTGGAGACATCGGAAACCTGTAATGAAAAGTAGCAAGTCAGATACAATCTAAAGTATGAATACGCGAAATTTAAAAGGGAAATTAAGAACTTTAATTAAAATCCTGTGTATAAATAGGATTTTATAGTTGAAGTCTAATTAAACCTACAAATTTTGTGCATGCGAAACAATGATTGTCATTTTCGCAGTAAATTTTGGTGAAATACCCAAAATACCCTTCGTGTTCAAGGCTAAATTCGGGTTAAGGACACGCTCGAGTTGGGTCATGGTCATCATACCTAATCACATAGCACCCCCATCACCCCATAATTTTGGTTAATCTTACACATAACACCCTTTTGTAAAATTTAGCTAATTTTGCACATAACCCCTTCAAAGTTCAGTCCCTCTTTTGCACATAACCCCTTCAAAGTTCAGTCCCTCTTTTGCACATAACCCCTTCAAAGTTTAACCCTCTTTTGCATATAACCCCCTCAAAGTTCAATCCCAAATTTGCACATACACCCCTGAAAATTTCAGCCTCAAATTTGCACAAAAACCCCCCAAATTCGATCAATTTCTCAAATTCCATACCCAAATTCGGTTTTTCTTCCAAGATTAAAGAGCTAGAGTTGAAATTATCAAGCCATGAACATAATCAATCAAAAAATTCGGCCAACAAACAAACCCAATGCAAATTTCGGATTTCCCCCAAATTTGAAGAACTAGGGCTTTCAATCTTTGAATCAAAACATGAGGAACTAACTAAAATCAAAGCAAGGGAATTGAAGCCATAAAAGAAAAGAGACTTACCCAAGTTTTAAAGCTTGAAGAAGAAGAAAATCCCAAACCCTAGCTTGTAGGGGGATGAAGATTTCGGCCAAGGTCAAGGGTTCTTTTTTTGTGAGGCTTTATCTTACCAAAGCTAAGGGCTTGAAGAAGAAGATGATGGAACCCTTGGAGAAGATGAGAACTTGGAGAAGAAGGGGTTGAGGCCTTGAAGAAGATGGTCTTAAAAGCTTTAGAACTCTTGAAGAAGGAGTTTGAAAGAGGAGTGGGCGGATTTCTCTGTTGGAACCGAAAAAAAAATTAGGGGGGCGGAACTTCTTGCTGGAACCGGAAACAGAAAAGGAAAAGAAGAAGAGGAGAAAATTAGGTTTTGGGGTTTTAAATAGGCTTGAACCAGCCTGAACCGGACCCGGACCTGAACCGAACCGGTCTGGACCGAACCAGTCTGAACCAAATCAATCGGACCGGACCGATCCTAGCTTGTTGATTCGCATGCATGTAAACCGCGAAATGTGGGTTCGCGCGTGTGGAAGGGTCCGGGGGTAATTCATATGCGTTTCGAACCTCTTTTCGGATATGTTTCGATGTATTCAACACTCGTATCTATACTCCAATGAGAATACGAGTCTAAACTATTTTTCACAATGGACGGGAAGTTCCTGGAGAATATTATGTATAATATTCTTAAGGATAACCCGTCAACCTCCGATGGGTACACGAGGCTAAACTAATTCCCGAAACTCCCAGGAGTACACGAGTATAAACTGGTTCTCCTCAGGTTGATTCGAAACCCTAGGGTCAACGCCGGTTAACGCGTAACCCTAGGTCAACGCCAGTCAACGCGTTGCGACAAAAAGTCAATATTCGACGTTCGAAACCCTAGGATCAACGCCGGTCAACGCGTAACCCTAGGTCAACGCCAGTCAACGCGTTGCGACCAAAAAGTCAACATTCGACGTTCGAAACCCTAGGGTCAACGCCGGTCAACGCGTAACCCTAGGTCAACGCCAGTCAACGTGTTGCGGCAAAAAGTCAACATACAGTGATCTGAAATCCTAGGTCAACACAATGTGACGGAGGTAGTTCAAAGTCAACTTAATGACACGAGCCAAACTCAATTCATCAGCTGTAGACTCGAGACTTCGACGACGGTCAGGCGATAAACGCATTGCCGGAAGAACTTCGGTTATTCGTCAAAGCATCGAATAGACCGAAAATCGAAGGAGCCAAGAGTTAAAGCTAACTACGGGTCCTTTACGCCGACTGAAGGCTGGACCAATCACATCTAAAGTATTCCAGCCTCTTCTATAAAAGAAACGAGTCCGGAACGCTTTGGAGGGGGTATCTGTAGGCATCGAAAATTGCCTATAGGTCTCCACGAACAGCTCAGTGTTAAGGAACGACAATGAACGTCACTATCTGGTTCACAGGAGTTCGATTGACGTCGGTGAACGCTTGAAGTGAATCGACGAACTACGTGAGCTGACAGAATTTCGAAATAACGAAGGCACAGGCTAATCGAGAACCCCGCGATGTTTACAAAAAGAACAACGCCTTTCGTGTCTCGTTCGTTCTACAGATAATCCAACCATCGGGGCTGATAGAACTCTTCGTCAGAATTCCAACGCAATTCGAATCACTAAAATCCGAGTTCGGACGAAGAATTTACAGCGGGGTGTCCTAGATTTTTGGGGACGCCCCAGGGGTGTCCTAGATTTTTGGGGACACCCCAGGGGTGTCGCCTACAAATAGAAGCCTTAGGCCTCACTTTTGGGGATCTGGATTTTTGGAGAATTGGCAAAGCCCTGTTGGAGTGAAGAGTGATCGAGCACTTCAACACAAGAGAGTTCTTCATCAGATCTACATCACCCGCATCCGTTCCTTAGCATTACCCCTCGTCGGTAATCCTAAGAAGAGTGATTATCTCGCTTCGCCGAGATAAGAGCTACGATTTCTCGATCCCTTCGCGGATCGACGAAGCTCTGCCCGATTTTTCTGGATCAGATCTGATTGCCAGGTAGTCCACGGATATCGACGTCCCCGTCACAGGCTAAAGACCCACGCAAGCAAGAGACGATAAACGGATCTTGTGTTTATTTTCAAGAAAGTTGTAATTTTTATTTTCGTTATTTGAATTCATTTGTAACGTTTGAAGTTTTAATGAAATCAATGATGAAGGCAACTTTTGACGAAAACACCTTTGTGCTTGCAGTTTGTCTTGTAATTGCTGCTTTTTAGACATAGAAGTGATTAATAAGGTGAGGATTGAACACACTAGGGTATGTACAAAATTTTCTTGACTAAAGGCTATTGGTGAAAGAAAGTTTTATGGGATGGTATACACATGTATAATGACGAGCTGGGGCAGATACAATGATGACAAATACATGGAATTGTGTTGAAGCATGAGGTAATGGCGTGCTGAGAAAGCCACACTGTAATGAGGAATGCATTGAATTTTTTTGAAGGCTGAGGTATGAGATGAGATGTAAGTTAAGATGGTCATCGTATTTTAGGATGACCCATGGTCTGTGTTAATGCTTATAGTCTTATTGTGAAACTTGGTTTTGCTTATAATAGGATGAATTAAGAAAAGGATAAGGGCCTTATTGGGAGAATTGACGGTTGATATTATGGCATATTCTAGAAATAAACTCAGAATGATAGTATACCTCGTTCATAGTCCACTTCGTAACACTTCACATGTATTATGTTTCTTCAATAAGAAATGGTGATATAGGTTTTTTGCGATCAAGGAAGCAAGTACACATGTTATCGTCTATACTCAGTGCGAAGATTTTTCAACATTGAGAGCCTGAAATTGGCAGGAAGTATTGAGATCCATTCCATGCAATGTAGTTATGAAATGCAGTGACCAAACTATAAAGTGAACTTGGTTGCTCCATGTCCCCAAATGTTGATTGAAATGGCTACTTACTGTATCAAATTTACTAATGAACCAATATCTTTTCCAGGCGGTCTGGGCAAAGGTCGAGGGTTCGTAAGCTTCAATATATTGCTGAGCTCGAGAGAACTGTTGATGTATATCAGGTAACTAAACCACTACTTCTTTCTTCCATGTGCTCTTTACATGTTATTCCTGTATTTTTGTGTGTGCTTGCACATGTGCTGATAATCATGTTTGCTGTCTAGACCATAGGAGCAGAATTGGCAGCTGGAGTTGCATCCCTTTTTCAGCAGCGACTCGTTCTATCTGTAGAAAACAAGAAACTTAGACAGCAGATTGCTCGCCTTCGGCAGGAGAAAGTGATCAAGGATGGTGAGCAAGCTTCTTGTTTACTGAATTATATAAAACCCCTTTTGCTTCACGGTGTTGTGCACAAAACCTCCCTTAAACTTTATAAATTAGAGAAAAGCCCTGGAATTATTGAAAATTGTTACAATTGGCATCAATGTAAAGGTTAAAATGTCTAAACTACCCTTATTAGTTTCTATCAACCCTAACCTGAACTCTTTCTCAATAAAAGTAATATAAGGGCACACCTAAACTGATTACTGTCAGTTCAGTGAAACAAGATCTGAGGGATTTATAATTTATAAAGTTTAGGGGGTTCTTGTGCAAAACAACCCAAGTTTGTGAAATTTTGCCCTTACTGTTTTGCAAACACACATAATAACTCCTATAAGTCAGCTTTATTCTTGGGCACTTTGTTACTACTAAATGTACTATAATCTTTTGTTCCTCTGCTTCAATGAGTGCAGGTGAATATCAATCCCTGAAGAAGGAAGCAGAGAGGTTGAAGGCGATCTATGGATGCCACCGAAGAAGCAAGAGCGCTGTTTCTCTCTTCGACACAGAATCTATAGATGCTAATCCTTCAGGAGCAGCTTGGCAAATGTTGGATTTTGGAAAGCTAAATCTTGACGGAAACCCAGTGGCACCATTGAGGCATGGTTTCGGTCTCTAACGCCATCTTCGCTTATATTAACATTGCTAAAGCTTCACCAAGGTTACAGGATTCTAGTCCTTACTCTAACCACAACCTTTAGTTGCTGTAGGTTAATGACATAGTTTATGTGATCCTTTAGACTGGAAAAGTACTTTTCTGAAAGGATATAAAAACTGTGATAGTTAGTGATGTGGGTTACGTTGGTCCTACAACTCTTTTTTGTGTTGTACATTTGGATTTGAACTGGATTAACCTGATAATACCTTGGAATCGCAACGACGAAATGAATGCATTTATCACAGATTATTCTGATCTGAGATTTGAGTTTGGGATCCGTCTCTGTCTCAAAGCATTGTATTAGATATGTCGCCGCATCGTTCATCTGGTTGTCCTGGGAATGTTTTTGTATCAATGTCAGGGTGTTACGTGAGTCGGTTATAGATAATTAATGAAGAACCCGTGAGGCCTAAGATTTGTGGATTAGGTAATTGTGGTACTATCTATGCTTTGATTTCGTACAGTGGGTGAATTGCTAATTTGTTTACATGAAGCGTGCGTACGTATCGCTTCAGCTGCACTGTAGGAATATTTAAATAAATAATTATGCATCTAAGTTCTGATCATGAGACATGGTATTATAATTCTGTTATATTATTCAATTCGGATATCATGAGAAGATTGTGTGGGGATTTTTAGCATTTTTCCCTCAATTTTTTTTTTAGAATATAAAATCTACCTGTGACATGGGCCTGGTCCTCAGCCGACGCGGGAGATAATCATTGTGAAAGTGGCAGTATCATCATCATATCATATGTATCTCTCGTGAAAGACAATCAGTAGGCCAACCAGTCGCCATAAAAACTTAGGTTCCTTTATTTTTTTTTATTTTTTTGTTGTATAAATGACTGATTGGAACAGACTGCTGAGGATATTATTTTTAGCTGCCATGTCCCTCGTGATACTGTACTTTTTTTTTTCTCCCTTTTTTTTAACTTTCTGATGACTCCTATAATCTAGATTCATTGCAGTTTTGACTTAAAACGTCATTGCTTTTGTGATCGGTGAACTCATCTCATCTCTTGATACGTGAATGGATGGTAAGATTTGGCTTGTTGATCACCGGCTAATTGGAGAGTATCTGAATCCATGCATCGACGGCCAACGTTACATGAACCCCTACATTATGAGGACATATTTCATTTTAATGAAAGATTACTGCGGGAGCTAAGATCAAATTAGTTACAATGTTAGTAAATATTTTGGAAGGTATTTGTTTGATGTGGACCATACTCATGTGGCCTCCAAAATATTGCAATTCTAATAGGCTTCTTTTCCTTTAAATTTATGTACATGCGCGTATGCATCATTCTTATATACAACGACTGCCCACTGTTTATTTCATCTTGGATTCTTGGTGTTCGTTGTCCTTCACTATACTTTTGGAATCCCTCGTCCCTTTCAGTCCTCAACTCATGATTTATTTTCAAAACTAACTGACGATATAATTCTATCCGGTTTTTCCTATTTTTTGAATAATTATTCACCCTCTTTAATCTCCGTTTCTCCATTAGCCATGAATTTGGATCATCTCTACTACAAAAAAATAGTGAAGAGACTACTATTTTTAATCTCAATCGTTGATTACTTAGTAAGTGGTTATAATATAATCTTAATCTAACATTCACCATAGCCCAGTGTATTGCACTTATTTTTAATTTGCATTCAAAGAAAAAAATCACAACCATCAACTAGATAATTAATGGTTATGATTATGTAGTGGTTTCTCCACTACTTTTTAGATAGTGAAGAGTATCCGAATCCATTAGACATCGTATAAATTTACCACCTTCCATAAAAATCTTCAACATTCATTTCCCATTTTATATTGTATCTTTGTCTCTACTGCAATTGGCCAAATATACGCCACGTCAATTTTCACGTGTTCAGTCTCTGGGGGGTTCCTCTCGAAATTACATACCAACCCAAAATTTAGTGGACTTTTAACACATATCCACTGGCATTCGTTTGGTCTTCTAAGGTTATCATTGGATCCAATTATTTATTAATTAATCTTTGTACTCATATCACGACATGATCTTTTTTAGTTAACAGTTATTAGAACTTCAAGTTGTAAGATAAAACCTCTCTAATTTGTTCCTGAATCGTATTGTGTTGTAGATATAAAAAAGATTGCTTAAAAAATTCATGAAAGATAAGAGTAATTAAAAAATTGACACATCCTTTCGGTACTAGTGGATGTAAATTAGTAAATTAGACATGTGAAAGGAAAAATTTTGCATATAAAAATCAAAATTATTTTAGTAAAGACCAATTTTGATGACTAATTAATCTTTTATTATTCCCTGAAGAACAAATTTTCACTGTAGACCCAACTGAAGTTTTAATTACCAAAATCGACCGTTTTTTTTAATTATCAAAATCGACCCGTTTTATACCACGTAGACTTAATCTCGTTTCCTAATTAGTCGGGGTTGCCAACCCCGACCGGCAACCCCGACTGTTTAGAACATTACAAATCGGGTTTTAAGGCTTCTAATTGGGGTTTAACAACTCCTAAACAGTCGGGGTTGGCAACCCCGACTAATTAAGAAACAGGATTAAGCCTACGTGGCATAAAACGGGTCGATTTTGATAATTAAAAAAAACGATCGATTTTGATAATTAAAAATTTATTTGGGTCTACAGCGAAAATTTGTTCTTCCCTGAATCCTGGGGACGAAGAGAGAGAGGGGGGACGCATGTCTCTTCGAGAAGCTACCGAGACGACACGTGTCCCCTTCTGTCCAAATATTTGGCCGACACCTTTTCATCTCTCTCTCTCTGTAAATGCTAACACAAACAAAATAAAAATCCCATTAAAACTGAGAATTCTCAGTGAAGAAATCCACCCTTAGAGTCTGCAAGAAGCTTCTCTTTGCTATATAAAGGTTGCATTCTCCCACTCTCCTCAGTTTTCCCAAAATGCCCAAAAAAAAAAACATTCCTGATGCTGATTCACTCTTTTTATCTGTTGCTCAATTTTCATGCAGAAATGCGAAATGAAGCCGACCCATCTTTTCTGGAAACTTGAGTTTTATGCTTGTTCGGGTTGATTCTGATCAATCAAAACCCAATTTAGCCGCGATGGTCCTCATCAAAATTCTATCTTTGGCAGCCCTCTTACTTCATTGTTCGCTAGTAGTTCTATCCGCCACAGACCCAGATGATCTTGCTGTCCTAAATGAACTCAGGAAGGGCTTAGAGAACCCTGAGCTCTTGAATTGGCCTGAAAATGGCGACGACCCGTGCGGCCCCCCTCTCTGGCCTCATGTCTACTGCTCGGGCTCTCGGGTCTCTCAGATCCAAGTCCAGAATTTGGGCCTAACCGGCCCATTACCTCAGAGCTTCAACAAGCTCTCGATGCTCTCCAACATTGGGCTCCAAAGGAACAATTTTTATGGAGGCTTGCCGTCTTTCGCTGGACTGTCGAATCTACAGTTTGCTTATCTCGGCGGCAACCGGTTCGATACAATCCCTTCGGACTTCTTTGTTGGGCTCACTAGCTTGCAGGTTCTGTCCTTGGACGATAGCCCCTTGAATAAGAGCACTGGTTGGAGTTTGCCTAAGGATTTTGAGAGTTCAGCTCAGCTCACAAATCTCTCATTGATTGGATGTAATCTTGTCGGCCCGCTGCCGGAGTTTTTGGGGGGAATGCAGTCATTGAGGGCGCTCAAGCTTTCCTATAATAATCTCTCTGGGGAGATTCCGGCGAGCTTTTCGGGCTCAATGCTGCAAATTCTCTGGCTCAACAATCAGAATGGAGATGGGTTGAGCGGAGATATCAGTGTAATCTCGTCTGTGGCTTCGTTATCCGATGCTTGGTTACATGGAAACTCATTTACGGGTTCGATCCCTAGTGAAATTGGGGAATGCACTTCGTTGACGAGGCTCTGGCTCAATGACAACAAGCTTGTAGGCCTAATTCCTGAGAACTTGGTATCTTTGCCGCAGCTAGAGTCATTGCAGTTGGATAACAATAGGTTAATGGGTCCAATTCCGAAGGTTAAATTCAACTTCACGTATGCTGACAATTCATTTTGCCAGTCAATTCCTGGGGTCTCTTGCTCGCCGGAGGTCTCTGCGCTCTTGGATTTTCTCGGCGGTGTGAACTATCCGGAGGCTTTAACTTCATCTTGGTCTGGTAATGATCCTTGCTCTATGTGGTTGGGTGTATCTTGTTCTAATGGTAAAGTTTTTATCATTAATTTGCCTAATTACAAACTAAATGGAAGTATAAGCCCTTCGATTGGCAAACTAGGCTCCCTTGCTGATATTAAGCTTGGGGGTAACAATTTGATTGGCAAAATCCCCGATAACCTGACAAGATTGAAATCTCTAAGGATGTTGAATGTTTCTGCAAACAATTTAAGGCCTCCTGTTCCTAAGTTTGGCAATAGCGTGAAGCTTCTTATTGATGGAAATCCGCTGCTGAATCCATCTAGTGAATCTCCAGTAGCTCCTCCTCATAACAATCCATCATCAGAACCTCCAATAACTCCTCCTGGTAATAATCCATCGTCACCGGATTTACCTTCACCTTCAAGGTCACCGGATTTACCTTCACCTTCAAGGGGGTCCACTTCATTGCACAGGCCTCTTGCACCCAGTGGAAGTCCAGTTGTCGGTAATAATTCTTCTTCCCCTAGTGGTGGAGAAAGCAAAACGAGAGATGAGAAAAGAAGAGAGCCAAAAAGTTTGAGAAACTCGAAACTTCTGATACTTGCAGTTCCAGCCATAATTGGGGTCTTGATGGTATCACTAGTTGGTTTACTGTTTTGTTGTCGACGAAGGGGCAACAATAGCAGGCTTAAGGCACCAGGCACCATTGTTGTTTACCCTAGAGATCCATCCAATCCCGATGATATGCTTAAGATTGTGGTTGCAAATAATAATGATACTAGCTCTTCAGCAAGTGATTTGAAGAGTGTGAGCTATAGTACCACGAGCGAAGCACAAATGATTGAGTCAGGAAATTTTATGGTATCGGTCCAAGTTCTTCGTAACCTGACCAGAAATTTTTCCACTGAGAATGAAGTTGGTAGGGGCGGATTTGGAGTCGTTTACAAAGGAGAACTTCATGATGGAACGACGATTGCAGTGAAAAGAATGGAGGCTGCAATGACAACCAACAAGGCTTTTGATGAGTTCAAGGCTGAGATAGCTGTTCTTTCCAAAGTTCGTCACCGAAATTTGGTATCTCTTTTAGGCTACTCAATTGAAGGCAATGAGAGGATTCTTGTGTACGAGTATGTGCCGCAAGGGGCCTTAAGCAAGCATCTGTTTCAATGGAAGCACTTGAATTTGGAGCCTTTGTCTTGGAAAAAGAGGCTAAATATCGCGTTGGATGTTTCTCGTGGATTGGAGTACCTTCATAATTTGACTCACCAGTGTTTTATACATAGAGATCTGAAATCGTCAAATATTCTTCTTGGTGATGATTATCGAGCCAAAATTTCGGATTTTGGATTGGTGAAATTAGCGCCCGATGGGAAGAATTCGGTGGCAACTCGACTCGCTGGAACATTTGGATATCTGGCTCCAGAGTATGCTGGTATGAGCCAATTCTCGTTGCTAAATTTTTTGAGAAGTTCTAATGTTATCTAATTTCAGCATTGAATATTGTCCTACATCAAGATTACACACCTTGAAATTCTAACTACCTTAACAACCTTCACTTCAAAAAAAAAAAAAGCTTAAAGGTAGTAACTAAAATTAACAGATGAACGGTGGCATACTTTTCATTTCTGTAACTTTTGTAGCAATTGGAGACATTCTGTTCTATTCATTGTTGGTGTTTAATTAAAAGAATAAATGAAAATGAAATCATTTTCTAGTTCATTATTGTTTTGATGTTTACAGCATTTCTCTGCAAAAGAAAATTTCTTCTCTTGGATGATCCTTTTCTTGGTTTCTCTATTTGGTATATTTCTGTACACTGAAAAATATCGGTGCTCTGTTAATCTGTGGAAAACATGTTGGGTTTAAGAACAAGTAACCCTCTACCTTTGCTAAACCTTGTGTAAAACTTAATTTCTTATTAATAATCCCTAACATATAAAATAGATCACTATTTTCCTTAGTCCTTTTGATAATTTCTTGTTTCTTATTTCAATTGAACCAGTGACGGGAAAAATCACAACGAAAGCAGACGTCTTCAGCTTCGGAGTAGTCCTAATGGAACTCATAACCGGTCTAGCTGCATTGGATGAAACTCGTTCTGAAGAAAACCAATATCTAGCTTCATGGTTCATCGACATAAAATCCAACAAAACTACACTCAAATCCGCCATTGACCCATCAATCGAAGATACAGAGGAAACTTTCGAGAGCATCTCCATAATCTCCGAGCTTGCTGGCCATTGTGCAGCACGAGAGCCTCATCAAAGACCAGATATGGGCCATGTAGTTAGTGTGCTTTCTCCTCTTGTCGAGAAATGGAAGCCGATGAAAGATGATGAAGAGGGTCTCGTGGGGATTGATCTTCAACAGCCGTTGCTTCAAATGGTTAAAGGTTGGCAAGCTGCTGATGGTGGTGATAATAGTGTTGGCTCGAGTTCGAATGGGCTTGATGATAGTAAAGGGAGCATACCGGCGAGGCCTCCTGGATTTGGGGATTCTTTCACTTCTGCAGATGGCCGGTGAGTTATATGCTCTTTTATTTGCTCCATAATTATGGTTTGATCTATGTTTTTTTGTTTATGAATGTAGATATAGAGGGTGTTTGCAACTTGTTTGGTTTGTTCTTTGTGTTGCTGTCGTAGTTTTTGGTGGTCATGTTTGTTTAGTTTGGTTTCTGATGTAGATAGAGAAATATCAAATATGTGTTGCGAAATTTTGTTACTGTGAATTATTTTAGTTAAAAGCATTTATGATTGAGTACGTGCTATTTGTAATTCCATTATTTGTTAGTTTGATTTCTTTTTTATTGAAGTCAATGAAGCTATAGATATCAAAAGTAAGAGTGAGCTGAAGAACTCAATTTTACTTCAACATATGACATCATATGGTTTGCTTAAAGGCTCAATGTTGGGTCTTCCACATTTTCTGTCTCAGTAATAGCTATCACAAGAATAAATTTCTCAGTAACTGATAGTTATTCAAAATGGTTAATTGCGGATAGACCCCCTGCAAGAGTTCTTGTTGATAGATCCCATAAGTGAAAATCTAATATTGGCAATAGATAGAACCTCTGAAAAGGGTCCCCAAAAAAATAAATTTGCCCAAGGGGTTCAGATCGTTTCTGCTGTCATACAAAATCAAAGGAAATTAATGGTAGTTTGTCTTGTAGATTCAAGGGCATGGCCTACCCTTGAGGAGAAGACCAAGGATAGATTTTGTCCTACATATTTGTGTCGGTGTCTTGAGTTAGTTGGGAGGTCTGCAGCGAGCCCTTCGATTGAATGATTCTTATTATTGAGGGGGTACCATTAGCTCTCACGTGGAGGTTGAAGGACATTGTTTTGTTTTGAGAGGTAGGGACTGCGGAGAGCATCCTCAGTGATATCAACTGTCCTCTCTAGCTATAAGTACAAACCCATCTCCTTGCGAGGGGAGGGAGCCCAGTTTGTGCCAACCACAGGATTTCAACTGTCTTTCATCAAAAAGTTCTAAATGGATAAATTTCACAAAACTACCGTCGACTCTTTGGGGGGGGGTGCAGGATTGCCGTAAACTTGTTCATCAGAGAGTGCCATTTTATGTACATTTTTTGCTGAACTACCACGTCTGTCGGCAGTTGGGGGGCGCGTGCATGTTTTCGACAATCGTGCACGTATGTGTGTACCTTATATGTAGTTCTTAAAGTTCATGATAGTTTCTCAAATTAATGAAGAAAAAAAAAGGTTTACAGTAGTTTTTGAGCAATGTCCACGGTGATGCTGTGAAATTTGTCTGTAAGTTTTTAGTGAAAAACAACAGCATCATGTGAATTTCCTTTCAGTTTGGTGAGTCATCAATCGCATGCAGCCATCTATTACTACTAGTGATTATGATATCCTTTTTTATGTTGGTGAACGAGGGGAGATGATTTGAAAAGGCTATCTTGTCTAAAAAAAGTTCAGATGTAGCATCATTTGCTAATGTGAAGATCCCTGGCCTTTTTGTGGGAAATCAGTCTCCTTTGAGATGTGAAAGCTACAACCTAACGCCCTGAAATTATGGGTAGTGCACTGAACAAACAAAACTAGTTCAACCTGCGTCTCATCCAATCTCAAGCAAAAGTTGTACGTAAATTGTTCGGCGAAAATTTACCCTCCAAGTATTATACCTGACCCAAACTTTGTATCCGAATCAAGCATTCATGGTTATGATTCATATCAAATGATATTATGATCACAACTCATTTCAAAGAAATTGCTACTGCTCTTTGTAACACAAAACTCTCTTTAACCGGACCGGGTCCAAACGTCATGTAGGCCTATATAACATAAACAAAACATAAAGTTTTTGACGATAGAATCATGAGAATCACTGAGAATTCATTTGTAGTTAAGTTTCGAACGACCCCGCAAAACTTGGTTCCCATCTACTTGAGTTCCATCTTTTTACCTCAGAAAATAATTTTCGGAACAAATCCAAATAAATAAAATTAGAATGTTTCGGCCCGGACCAATGTATCTGCTGGTTGCCAAGGTCTCGCAGCTGGGCCTTTTCATGTTGGGCTATATTAGCAAAACATAAGGTTTTTGTTTTTATTGGAAAAAATAATGGGATCTGTTACAGTTCCTAGTCACTAAACAAAACATAAGTTAACGTTGGAATGTGTATAGTTTTATAATGAGCTTGAGTAATTGCAGGATTTTTTTTTCCCCGTAAAATTAAGCAAATGTGTAATAGCTAGCTGAAGATTGAAATTACATGACCTGCAAATGGTTCAAATGCAAAAGTGATTTATAAAACTTTTCCTTTGGATTTGGGCCCATGCAGGGCTCTCTAAGGCCTCTTTCTGCAAAGCCTCTGGCCTTCTGTTTTAAATGGGCTTTAAGCGCGTACGGGACCTAAAAGTGCTGATAAACCCTACACTTACGATGGAAACAATAGAATGCTTTTTTTGATAAACCCTACACTTCTATGTGGTAATTGTCCAAAGTTAAGGGTTTTTTCCTTTCTTACTTTTTTTTTTGGTGGGTATTTAGCATATGAAAGCTATACTTTACTATTGCACTAGGAAGTATTCAGATATAAGATACACGTTCAATTTCATAATTCAAAATTTTATTTTTATCAATACTTCATCAGTCCAAATTGATAATAAAAAAAATTATGATTTTTATCTTGCAATTTTAACCTCCAAGGGTTACTTCATGTTCAAATTTTCGTGCGTAATGATCACTCTCAAATACTTTTTTTTATATAGTTAAAACAATCATATGCCTTATTAGGTTATGTCATGTAGCAATGCAACAGGATCCATTAATAGATGGCAACCTTGGTTTTAGAATGCGACACGACTCGTGCTTCTAATTACTTCAAGCTTTCGTGATAGAATTCATATTTGGACTACTAATCTTTTTACTAAACACAAAAACAAGAACTTACATATTAATCCATAGATAGGTACACGATACGTTTTTTAGTCCCATATATATACAAAGTTCAAAAACGACCTACGTCCATACAAAAAATTTAAAGCCAAAAAGTTGTTTTCCTTTGGTTAGTTATGACCTTAACTCCAACCAAATTGACAGAGAGAGAGCAAGTGGAGCACGTGAGATCTCAAACTTAGGAGAAGAACCAAAGCTCAAGGGGTCTGTGGCTTCTTAGGGTCGCCATTGTGATGTAGCGGGTCCGGACCCGAGCACTCCTCCCTCCCTCCGACGGCTTCACACCCTTAGCAAGCTCCGGCGGCACAGCAGAGACCTACAAGTACAACACATTAACATTATGCGCCAAATTCAGCTAACATGCAACTTTATTCTGAAAAAAAAAAAAAAAAAAAAGGAAATGTTCAAACCTTCTCATCTTTATACTTTGGTGAAGAAGCCATCTCAGGGTTCAAACAGTCCAAGCCACCTTTGCACCCTAGCAAAAACAGTAAAAAAAAAATTTAAAAAAAAACTAGGTTAATTAGGGAGCGAATATAATTAATGATCGAGAGATGGAGGAAATAAAAAGTTTTAGAGAGAGAATGTAGACCTAATAAACGTGCATCCACAACTAAGAACAGAGCAAAAGCAGCAAGAGCCGAGCACAGCAAAAACGAAGGAAACTTGACCATTTTTGAGATAATATAATTAATTAACCTCTGATATATCTGAGCCTACTCTGGCTAAGGCAGAAGAGAGCGTAGCCCATTTATAGGCGCACCTGGATCCGAACCATTTGTTTATTTTTAACTCGCTTTTAATTAATTAATTAATTCCTCTGATCGATCAATATACGTTTTTTTTATGATTAATTATTAGATCTCCGAATCGCGTACAGAGGAGGAAAAACCATGATTGCGTCCCTCTGCAGAGTTCAGGCCAAGACTCTTTGTCTGTCTAATCTCGGCTACTAATGGATTAGCTTTGGGATCAACGGCGGCGTGCTTTAATATTCGCGTCCGCTGCTGTCAATTCGTCATTTCACACTAATTAATCACACCCACTTGCTCCACGACGAACGGGTCGGGTTCTCTTGTGGTTTTCGTTTCGGGTTCTAGGGTTTTTAATTAACTGCTTTTTTAATTAATTAATTAATTAAAGCTCATTAACTTTAATTTGTGTGCGCGTTGCGCTTGATCGTCACTGCTCAATCAAAATGAAGGCTAAGGTAGAAGGAAGATGATCGAGTGGCATTAATTGTTACCGGTTTAAATCAAGTGATCAGTCTCATTATTTGGATAGAATTAATATTCATCCGAATATTTGTGTTTGGCGCTTGAAAGATGAATCCATCCTCTGCAGGACACCGCATTATTTTAATTCACCGGGTTATCGGGTTCCTTTCTAACGACTAATAATTACATCCGAATCCGATATGAAGCTGAGTCATCCATACTTCATCAAGTATCCAAATTCGAAGATCCAGTGGGCCGTATTATTTACTGTCTTCAACCTTCGTGTCGACCAAATCCGACCGCTACGCGTCGAAGTGACACCCGAATCCAACAGTATTTAAGTACCCGGTGACGTCACCGAGATCTCTTTGCCGCCACAAATAGTAAAAGATGCCGAGGGCATTCTGGGAATTCCCATGCATCATGACGTCGGGGGCATTTTGGGAGCGACGCGGGGGGTTAACGGCTTAATGCGATCTCAATCCGTCCGGGTGAAAAGAAAAAATAAAAAATAAAATGTGACGACAGTGATGAGAGGAAATGTTGAGCATAATCTCATAATTTTTTACTTTTTAAGTTGAAATGACGCTCTTTTGATTTGATAGCGTAATAAAAAGTCTCAGTTGTGTACTGTGGCAAGTAGTTGAGAGTAGTGTGTATATATATATATTAATATAAGGTACAGTGTATAAGTTCAGTGGTATAATTGTGTACGTAGAGTCGTAGAGAGTTGTAAAGTTGGCAGCTGGAAAATTAACAGAAAAAAGATTCCAAACATTTCGTTTCACAAAAGAAAGTACTGTTTCTATCATTTGCTCAGCTCTCTAATCTGATACTGCTATTGATCAATCTTATGATTCTAATTAATTACATGGTCTAATTAAAATTGATCGTACTTATACGTAAGAACATATGAAAGTTAATTAATTTGCATCAAAACTTATATGCATCTGATAGTTTATATGTGACCATTGAGAACGAAAAATTTAAATTTGTAGCACGCTATTTGTACTTTATATTGCATTTGGCAACCCTTTAAAACCAGACTAGGACTAATTTTCTTTGAGCCAAACGTAGCTCTTTAAATTGTTTAGAATAAAACTGGTCTAGAACTGGTCCCTGCTTATTTTTTTTCTTCAAAAGTTATCCGACACGGTCTAAAAAAAGTAAATTTAAGGATAGAACTACATTCTTGTTATGTTTAATTATTTGGGTGTAACTAGCAATAGGTAATTAGATGATATACCAACTCAACTCTTGCATACAGAATGTTACTCAGTAATTACATACACCATTTTAATAAATGCTGCAACTACCCAACAACTAAAGAATTATCAGTCGACGTAATTTTTATTTTTATTTTTATTTTCAAAAGGATTTCGTGGAGCAGAATAAATTTAAGATTTAAGAGGACTAGTATTGACTTACCTTTTGGCCTTTGGGCCTTTAATTTTCACGACCCTAGGCTTCATTTATCTCAGCCAAATCTGACGGGCTTCAACCCGGCCGAATTCTCTTTGTCATCAAACACTGACATTGAGTGGCAGTATTGATACATTTTTTCATTAATTTTGATTGCATTGTTGCAGTTTCAATGTTCTTCTAAACGTAGTTGGTGTTTTTTTTTTCCTTTCTTTCTTTGGGTTAATTGTCGTAGACCTTGTACTATCGCCATAGTTGCGTATGGGCATAGGGTTGTCCATGGGCCGGTTTAAACTGCAGGCCAAACTGGCCCAGCCTTACTTGGGTCTAAACTTGGCCCGGCCACACCAGGACAGCCACAACCCGGTCCATATTAGTGATGATTCATGTGGCGGGTTTGGGCCACAACCCGGTCCATATTAGTGATGATTCATGTGGCGGGTTTGGGTTTGATCTAGACCTGGGACTGAAAAGCAGGGCCAGCGCACCATAGGTCCAGCTCACCATTAGCCCGACCCGACTCGACTCGACACGGGTTAATTATAAAAATTTACTTTTTAAACCAAAAAAAATTCTCAAGCAGTTAGGCTGGCCTGCTGCCTATAAGCTAGTGACAAAGTTTGAACGCTCTGGGCATGGCAGGCAAGACTGTGCCATATGTCCTGCTTGCTGGTATTGCCAGCAGAGCAAACTGTGATTACCCTGTTGGCCACGTGAGCATGGTAAACCGCTGGCAGCAGCCTGCGTGCTGCTGTAGACTACAGCAATGTCGCTGACCTGTTGCCAATTCGGCTAGCCCCCTTGACTTGAGCTATCCTAAAACAGAAAGCCAATGACTCTCTCTTTTTAGTAATCAACTGATTGCTAAAAAAAGAGGACAATGTAGGCTCTCTTTTATGGCAATCATCTATGCTAAAAAAAGAGTGTGTCATAGAAGAACAACTTACTGCAAGGCACATTGAGGACACAACATACAACGATACACATGGAGATATCTGAGTGCTTAAGAACTGGCTCGGCGTAGAAGAAGGGGGTGTTTGGTTCAATTTCTAAAAATTATAGGAAATGTTTTCCACCCAAAATATGATTTCATTGTATTTATTAAAAAAATTATAGAAAAAGTTTTGAGAAGACAAAAAGTACCATTTTTTTTACTTTGCTTGTTTGGTTCAAAACAAGAAAATGACTCATAACTTTATAGAAAATAGCAAGATTTCTTATAATTTGTAGAAATTGAACCAAACACCCCCTAAATTTATAGAAAAGTGTAAACTTTATAGAAAAGTATCAATGTTGTGTCAGATTTCTAGGTGATTTCCGCCCATTTTGAGAGAAAATTGATTTCTATAAATTTTAATACTTTTTTGTACTTTACATAAAATATTTCTGTAAAATTTTTGAACCAAACACAGTTTATGAAAATCTACAAGAAATTTTTAATTACAAAATTGCCATTGTTAGACATTTTGAAAAAAAATTTCTATAAAATTGTGCAACCAAACACCCCCGAATAGTAACAAAAACAACAAACAATATCTTTCCTTGAAGAATTTGATGAAAATAACTTGGAGGAATTCGACTCTTTGAACATTAACATTTAACATTTTCCCCCTTTTTCTCTATTGTATTTGTAATTTAAATTTAAACAACAGGAAAGTTTTAACTTTTCATGGACGTTGGTCTTCTTCAAAATTAGAACCTCATATATCTTTGTGTTTGTGATGTTTTTTGTATGATATTTATCTTTGTATAAGACACACATACACACATATAATTTAAATAATGGGTTTAAAAATGGGAAAAAACAAATTAAAAATAATTATATAGATTTGAATACAAAGTTAATATAGTTTAGAAATTAAAAAAAAGTTAAAAAAACCCATGGAATGTGACCGGGCCCGGCCCGGCCCATCCCGCCTTGCCCCGAGGCAGGTCGTGGGCCGGGCTGAGTCCAATCTCCGACCTATGATCAGAGAAGCACGCTCGGCCCACTCTAAACTATGCAGGCGGGTTAGACGTGACTCGACCTTGAACTCAATGGGCCAGGTCACATGGTTGAATCGGCCATGGCCACGTCCACCCCTAGATGTGCCCTTGTGATTTTATTATCCTATGCAAACCGGTTTTTTTTATAACTATTTATGCTAGAAAGGAGAGAATTATTATATTTGATAAATATAAAACAATAATTTTAAAATATTTAACCACGTGCATTGCACGTGCATAAAACCTAGAATATTCTTGCTAAGGTATAATATTCTGAGCTACGAAACATCCGGTTAATGGATAAAATTTTTAAAAATATTATAGATTAAAAATTATCGGCACTATATAAATTAAAGTAATTTCATATAATTTTAGTAATAAGTTGGGTAGCCAAAATACATTCGTAACATTAATTGATAGATGTTTAAATCCATAAAAATGATAAAACACTATAATATTATACCTTAGCATTAATTAATTTTAACTTAGAAACTTTAATCTTTGACGTTAATAATATTTATAGGGTAAAAGAATACAAGGAATTACATATGGAGAAACTATTAGAATATTTAGAGATAACTTTAAAAGAATTGAGTTATTTCCATTACAAATGGGAAAGTGATGGAAATAAATCTAAAATTCAGAAAACGTCAATGAATCACTTGAATTGGCATTAACATAAGACATATCTATTAATGAAGCACTGAATGAGTTACATTAAAAAATAATTTAATAACTTTATCCTAATCAAAGAAAAAATCTCCATGGAAGACATAAGAAAAATTAGTAAGTATTCATAAATTCCATACTGTGTTTTCAAATTAAATATTAATATTATAATCTAAGAGAAATTGGTAATGAATAATGCAAGTATTTATTTTAGATCTTTATGGAAAATGACAGGGATAGAGCAAAGATAATATTATTAAAATAACAGAAATTCTTATTGGATGCACATCAGAAGAATTCATTTTAGAGGAAAATAAAGAGATAGCTTCTAATTTATTTAAGTAATAAATTAGGAACACAAAGAATTTTATATATATGAAATTAATATTTATTCTCATTGAAATAGAAAAAAAATCAAAGTTAATATTTATTCTCATTGAAATAGAAAAAAAATCAAAGTCTATATTTTGAGCAGTTTGTGTTGAACATCGTAAGTACATTTGACTTCTTTGTAGAATTAAATGAGATGATAAAAAATTAACGAGCCCAGGAAAGATAATAGCATAAAAACTATAAAATTAGCCTGATGTCACAATTGATGTAGATGATAAAGACAATACTCTAGAATTGCCCGAGAAATGATAAATGATAAACCTGAAGAAGGATTGATCTTAACTCAATAAAAAATAAAATAAAAGAAATAAAAAACAATATTTTCTGAATATTTTATAGGATAGTTTAATTATTTTGAGTGAAATTAGGAATCTTTAGAAGGGAGTTTCATGAATTTTTTTTAGTACTTTTATATTCTTATGTGGATGTTTTTATCATATAAAAGTATACTAGAGTTAGTATTAATCTTTAATTTATATTTTTTTATGAAGTCTATCAATGATTAGGAATAAACTTCATATTCTCTTTTGCATCGTTTTAACATATTTTAAATCAATCATTTTGCCATATTGGTTTTAAATATTCACCTTCCTTGTATAACACTATTTTAATATTTTTCACTTTGCAATGATATACTTTCTCAAATAAAGCTTAGTTTCATATCGGTCAAAAATAATATAAAAATTCAAATTATTTTTAAATTATATTTGTTTTTTGTCAATTCAAATATCAATATGAAAATTTTAATTGGGTGTATCCCATTTAAACAAACATAAAAAAATAATCGGGATGTAAGAGTTTAAAGAAAAAATGAGCACAAACTGTCAAAAATACTTAATCATGATATTAAATCACGTGCATTGCACGTGTGTAAAAACTAGTAAGAATAAAAGAGTAAAAATAATAATGATAAATTTCACCGAGGAGTCTATGCAACTTTATAACTGCAAGGGGTCTCCGCAAGTGGGGGATAATATATGGCGTATATCGCTAAGTAGCCAAATTTTTTATTAAAAAAAATAATATCCTTCTTATTGAATGGCAACATTAATAAGAGAATACATGCATGTATGCATAGCCTCATCATTAAAAAAAAACCAAAAACAACACAATTTCTCAAATGGTTTCTCAAATGACCCCAGTTTAGATAAAATCATGAAGATACCATTAAAAACTTTACAAGACTGCCCATATTAAATACAAGCAATCGACCATTAACACACATTTCAAAGATTTTTCTCAACTATCAAGCCCCATTTGTTTCCTCGTCCTTTCCACAAACAAATATTTGGATTTGATCATTCCAGGCAAAAACCCAGCAATCGTGGCTATAGGAAACTCTGCAACGCCATTTTTCCTGCCGAGAGAGACCATGGTCATCTGTATTGAGCCTTTGTACTTCCACAGTTTAGTGTCTCTGCCTCCCTTCAATAGGATCTTCAAGTTCTTTCCAGCAATTGCAGCGTGCCTTTGTGCAGTGTAACCCTGCTTTTGCTCCTGCACAAGTAATGCTCGTGTCAGTTTGAAAGTAATTAGAGAAACCCGTATTCAAATCATATAGGACATTAAGATGGTATCAGAGAAAAGCGTATTCAAATCATATAGAAGATGCATGCACATTTAAAGTGGGTTTAAGGAAAGAAAGGAAAAAAAAAATCCCTTTAGTTGAGGAAGATCAGATTTGGCGCTCAATTTATAGCATGTTAGAATATAAATTTACAATCTCAATTTCATCATAACTTTGGAAAATAATTCGGGCTATTTCCGTGTTTGTTCACGTTATCCTCAATATTATGAGTCTATAAATCTTATCTTGCGCATATTTTTGACTATTTGTGTATGGATTAACTTTAAACAAATTCATCCATGACTTACCAATTTTGTCCTGTAACAAACCTCATATTTGTATCCTCCACCATCCAACAAAAGGGTTTTAATAAAAATCATCCCATTTATGTCATTAATTCACTCGCTAATAACATATTTGTAGAACTAAAAAATCAAGATAAATAAAATAAAGTTGAAATGGCAGACTTACAAGAATATCAGTTATATCTCCAATGGCAAAAACATTCTTGAGACCTCCAACTCTAAAATTCTCATCAACCATCAACCTCCCGTTCCTATCCAAAAATTCCTTGAGGAAAGACTGGCGTAGCCACCGTGAACCCACAGGCTTACCCGCACAAACAAAATAACAGTCGGCTTTAATGATATCTCCATTCGACGTTTGATACACTCTATCACCATCTGATATATTTCTTAAATTTATGGATTGATCAAGGAGAACATCAACTTTCTTCGATCTCAACCACTCTAGAGCTTTGTTACCTGCTTTTGGACCAATAAACTCTAGCAATCTTGGACCGTTGTGAACTAGACTTATTCTTTTGTCTGGGTAGTCGATTGCAATCTCTGCAGCAAGTTCGACACCAGTTGGTCCACCACCAACGATTAATATGGACTCAGATGATTTGATCTTATGGTTATCTGATAATAAAACACATTTTCAGGAATCAATAAGAATGAATGTATAGTAATATTAGCTTCAGAAAAGAAAAGAATGTTCTGATTCATATTCCAGAAGAGACCTGGAACCAAAAGATAGAATAAATCATCTAGGCTAGTGTATCTCATTTTGTATTTTGCAGTATTACTGTTGTATGCCAAAAAAAAAGAAAAAGAAATGAACATAATGTCAAAAACATAACGAAGTAATGTGTGCATTACGCGTCCAACATCTAATTATAACTTGGCAAGAACGCTAGGGATTATTGCATATGTTCCTGAAAAGGTAACTAAACTGGTAACAATCAAAACGGAACTTGAAGAAAGAAGGGACTAAACCAAGAAAGATCAGTTAAGGCTGAGCTACAAATGCCTCGATATAGAGTATCTCATGATTATCAGCTAGGTAACAGAGTGAAAACTAACTTATCATGCCTAATGTTCATAAACTACATTATAATGGAATTTTGAATTTGTCACAAACACTAAACAATAGTGTGTTAATTTGCACTATAACTTCCAAAATCCTAGTTTTGTTTTATTTTTCTTCTGCTTCTTCCTCTGTCTATTTTGGTAATTGACGTCTATTTACTCCTAACCTTTTGATTCTTATAGTTAGTTAGTTTTCTGTCATGCTGCTCATTTCCTCAAAACTTTATAAGAACTATTGAATATATGATGACTACCAACATCTCTCATATACTCTTGTTATAGTAAGTGCTTGTGGTATATTTTTCTTCATCTACAACTCAGATAAGATCAATGTAGCTCTGATTTTTTTTTATTACGATAGTCAATATCTTATGGTTACTCATTGCCTCAAAATTTTAAGAGTAACTATTGAACTTATCATGAGTACCTATAACAATGTATTTTAACAAAAGTTCGATGAGCTTACCTTCTTGAAATTGTTCAAGCCTGTCTCTCCTGCATCTCGGTACAACATAACTATGACCAGTTGCAATAACAAGATAATCATAAGGCACATAACGCCCCTCTGAAGTCCAAACCTCCGTCTCCGTAACATTTATGGCTGTAGATGTTACAACTCTCCCATTTGTCAAATATTCACTATGATTAATCACTGCTTTCTCTGCGACCGTTGGATCCACTTTCGATCTCAAATTCGCCCACGGAATCTCAAAATATTCCTTCCTGTTGTCGCAAAGAAACTCGACCCGTAATATAAAAGACCATAAAAATGCCATTTTTGTACAATGAAGATATGACAATGATCTAAATATGAATTAGAATGAAAATGAGGGGCGATTTCATACGGGTCGATTAGGCAAACATCACACTTGTTCTGAACAATCGTCGCAAGGAGAGCACCTGCGATACCTCCGCCAATGATGACCACCTTCTTCTTTGGTTCCCCTGACCAATCCATTTTCTCGTAAGCCATATATCAAACAGTTGGTGTGCGATCTAAATAAAAACAAAATTTTGGTTTTCTTTGGGATCAAATGGGATTGAAGAGGGACGAGAGAGAAGAGGGTGATCAACCCTCTCCTCTTGATTTCCTTCTTCAATGGTGGAATGATGAAGATCCGTTGTACTTTTTTTTGTTGGGGATACAGAAAACAGAGAGAGACGAGGAGGGAAAAGGGCCGTCACCTCAACCACCCAGGTCTTATTTTCTATTCTTGGCGAATTTTCATAAAACTACCTCCAACTCCAAATTTTCATAAAACAAGTGACCAATAAGATTGCTCTAAATATAAGTTTAAAGTTCCTACAAATACAGCCTCCAAAAGGATTCAAAATTATAATTTGATATTTTAAAAATATAAAACTAAGAGGCTTTTCTAAGATGCAGTCATGCATTTTAAAATGCAGATGTGTGAGATATTGTGCAAAAAAAAACTATTGAGTTATTGTGGAAAAAAAAAACTATTACCTATAATATGGGATGGACTTCTCTGTCATGATTTTTAACAAAAGTATGATGGTCTCAAGCAGAAAATATGTTTTAAAATTATTTTTGCTATAGAGTCTTCATTCTTAAATTATACCCTTTTGTTTATACAGAAATATGTAATTTCTCAAATGGCATAGACTTATCTGCAAAATATGCTTCCTACATAACCGTTATCTAACGGTCGGATTCAAGTCTTTCCCTCTCATTTTCTCCCTCTTCCTCCATTTGTTTTCTTCAGCTCAAAAAATTCCGCCATTAATCTCTCTCCTTCACTCGACCTCAAGATCAAAACCATGAGCTTAACAAACCCCCAAAATCGCCAAAGCCAATCCCAACCCAGAAACGACCAAACCCATCTCATCACACTCAAATGCAAATCCCTAATCCTCTCCTTATGGGCACCATCTCTTTTAATCCTAATCCTATCCCTCTCCCTCGCCAAATTCACCCCAATCCTTCACTATCTCAAGCCCAATCTCCTCTGGAGCCCGGGCAGAGCCCAGCCCAGCTCGGCCCATTTACGCCCGCCATGTGTTCTGTGGATGGCCCCTTTCCTCTCCCCCGGCGGCTACAGCTCTGAGGCCTGGTCCTACATAACCTCCCTCTCCTCCTTCACCAAAACCCACAACTTTTCCCTCAAAATCCTCCCTCACGGAGATTCGAACTCCTTCGAGTTCTTCAATGGCCTCCCCGAAAAATCGAAAAACTTGGCCTACGAGCTTTACAATGCCGACTGTGAGCTGAGTGAGTCTATTGTGGTTTGTCACAGTGAGCCTGGAGCTTGGTTTCCTCCTCTGTTTCAGACTCTGCCATGTCCACCTACAGGGTATCAAGAGCCATTGTTCGTCGTGGGAAGAACTATGTTTGAGACCGATCGGATTAATCCGAACCATGTCGAGAGATGCAACCGAATGGATAAGATTTGGGTGCCGTCAGAGTTTCATGTGTCAATGTTTGTTGACAATGGAGTCGATGAATCTAAGGTTGCGAAGCTCGTTCAGCCTGTCGATGTTGAGTTCTTCGATCCGTCGAAGTATCAAGCGTTTGCTCTTGAGTCAATAAAGCCAGTGGTAGGCTCGAGGTGCGGCGACAATAAGGATTTTGTTTTCCTCAGCGTTTTCAAATGGGAGCAGAGAAAAGGATGGGATGTGCTACTAAAAGCATTTCTTTCAGAATTTTCGAGGTCTGATTGTGTGTCTTTGTACTTGTTGGTTAGTGCATACCACTCCGATACGAAATTTGGCGCCAAGATTTCGAATTTTGTCAAACAAACCGGTTTAGTACCCCCGGCTGACGGGTGGGCCGGGGTCCACGTCATCAATGTACACGTTGCGCAATCTGATTTGCCGAGACTGTACAAGGCGGCGGATGCCTTCGTGCTTCCGACGAGGGGAGAAGGATGGGGGAGGCCGATAGTGGAGGCGATGGCGATGGCGTTGCCTGTAATTGCGACGAACTGGTCGGGGCCCACGGAGTACTTGACGGAGGAGAATGGGTACCCGTTGCCCATCGACGAGATGAGTGAGGTTTCGGATGGGCCGTTTGTGGGCCACAAATGGGCCGAGCCATCGAGTGAGAGGTTGAGGGTTTTGATGAGGAGGGTTGTGAGTGATAGGGAGGAGGGGAGGAGACGAGGGAGGAGGGCGAGGGAGGATATGATGAAGAGGTTTTCGCCAGAGGTTGTGGGGAGAATTCTTGCCGATGAGATTTTGGGTATAGTTAGGATGCTTGGTTGAAGGAAGTGGATTGAAGATGAAGTATTGATTTGCTTGTTCTCGTTTGGCTCGTAGAGTTTTGAGGTAGTGTTACTATAGGATTGATGCAAGTGAGTTTTAACTGAATTTGGATGCAGATGTGGGTGAAATTTCTGTGTTGTATGCTCTGTTTGTAATCGAATTCTGGCTGATTCAGATGAAACATGCACTGAACAACTTTATAGAACTTTCAAAATTCTTCTTTTATTTGGAATTTTGCAGCAACACTAATTTTGCAGCTCACTATTGCTTTTCCAAATGAAATAAGGTACCTTCGTAAATTGGCAGTTTGCAAAGATTTTTTTTTTCTCTTCTTTATTCGAAAAGATTTGTGATCTTGGCAATGGGTACAGGAGTCAAGTTTTT